ATCTATCTATCTATCTATCTATCTATCTATCTATCTATCTATCTATCTATCTATCTATCTATCTATCTATCTATCTATCTATCTATCTATATTGATATAGATAGACATATATAGATATTGAGTAAATACTAGAAGGTGTGTTGACTGAAATGTGACTAAACATCTAATTAATGTTATTGTTTAGAGCTTCTCCAGGGTTAATTCAAATGTTTGAAGTGTATCAGACTTTATGCCCAAAAGTCAAAGGCCCTCCGCGGTGCATAAGGATAAACTGGCTCAGAGTGACTACTGTATAAAGGGAGGGAGGAGGGGGATTTGGAGTCTGTAATCCAGACCTGCTGAAATAACAGAGAAGGCGAATTCTCCCCTAAAGCCGTTCCCAGTCTGCAGTAATCAAACGGCCTGGCAGTGTTGACAGGGGCCCTTGTTTGGCTTGGATGGCTGTGATGGGGACACAGCGTCTGGCTGTAGCTGGTCGGGGGAAAGGAACAGTTTAGGCAGCCGGAGCTACTGCAAGATAGATTGACTTTGTGACCTCCCTGTCTGAAAAGGCCCGTCTCCTTTACATCAGAGCCAAAACAAATAAAGTCTGAGGTGGTAAAAGGTGTGTTTATCTTAGAGAAGTCCGGCCTGAGGGAGCACCTTGCAATAAATCCACAGTTTTTTCTTATCTCCCTATCTTTTGGATTTAGCCTGATATAATAGGAGCGAGATGCTGGGGCTCAGGCATCTTTCTGTCTTTGTCTGATGTCGTTTTAGAGATTTAAGAACAAGCTGTGCTAGAAAAGCAGAGCCCACGAATCCACAAGATGATGGGGATTTACCAAGCGAAGGCAGCTAACAGCAAACAGGAGATAGTTGGCACAGGAACCCATCGGTTTAATATTCACATGCTTGACGCTAACGTGCCCAGTCACTACATTTCAACACCCACATTCCTCCGCTGTACAGCAGCTCCACATGAGTGGGCAGTCGGCATGTGACAGTTAGTTTTTGCAAACTCACACATCGCTCTGGTGCGTGTAGACCCGGTCGAACAGTGCCTCTGGAGCCATCCATTTCACGGGCAGACGACCCTGAAACCAGAAAAAAAAAAAAGTATAATAGAACCGCTTTTGTCAGCAGAACCTTTCTGTACCAATCAGACAGAAAAAAACTCAACCCAGTCACACAATCTTGCCTCATACACTGTCAGCTAATGGCTGCTAAAATAAACCAGCCTGTTTGTTCTAAGCTGATCAGTCTAAACATTGCAGTGGAGAATATGGGGTAAGATAACGGTCATTAAAAACATTTCCGTAGGTGTGAAATATTTCTGAATGAAAGCAAATAATCTAAATAAATGTAAGATTTTTTTGTTTATTGTTTTCATCTACATACATGTTACATCAGATTATCATCTGTGGGCATAGAAGATTAGAGGCCACAAGTACAAGTGACATCTTAACAAGTAAAAATTCCAGATTTATTAATACGGATCACAACTTTACAAAAAATGATTCTACAAAGTTGATCAACTACCGAAATTAAAAGAAGAGAAAGATGAAAACGAAACAATTGAAATTGCGGTATATCTTTGCTGAAATGTTTTTGATGCACAAGCAGTGTAAGGTTTGATGAACTGTCCTATTTTCCTTTTCCTCCTCCTTGTTTAAAGATTATTGCTGAACAACCAACAGATGCTTTATCACGACAAGCTGGTAATATATAAGAGCACCATAAGGTGTTGTTGATTTTTTTACTCGTAAATTTGTGATCTGTATCAGCTTTTATACAAAGATGCAATTTATTCATAATGGCAAAACTTCTACTCTTACAGATATAACATCTGATTTCACAAGTATGTATGTGTTGACAACAAGATACACATCTTAAATTCAATTACCTATTTTCAGTCACATAAATTTAGACAACTAAGACAACATGGAATGCTGTAAAGAAAGAAAAGAAAAACTGCACACATTTTATTGTATTTTTTGTATGTGTCAGACAGAAAGTAGTGCATTGCAAAA